TAAGAAGGGACCATTCCCTGGAGAAGGATGTCATGCTTGGTAGGGTGGAGGGTCGACGAAAGAAGGGGAGGCCTTCAAGGAGATGGATTGATATGGTGGCTGCGATGATGGGCTCAAGTATAGCATAGATTGTGGGTTTGGCGCGGGATCGGGCAGTGTTTTGTTCTGCTGTGCATGGGGTCGCTGTGAGTCGGAAACGACTCGACGGCACTTAACAACAACATAACAACCAAAACCAAACTTGGTGCCATCGAGTCGTTTCCAACTTCCAGCAACCGCCATTGGGTTTCTGAAGTTGTAAATCCTTATGGAAATAGATCTCCCAGTCTTTTGTCTGTGGAGCAGCTGGTGGGTTTAAACCACTGACCTTCTAGTTAGCAGTCAGTGCCTTATCCACTACACCACCAGAGATCCTATAGTAGCAGTAGAGAACCAAAACAACCAGTAAGCAACATCATGATAAAAAGAAATTGAAGTTGTCAAAGATTTCATTCTACTTGGGTCAGTAATCAGCACCCTTGAAAGCAGCAGTCAAGAAATCAAGTGGCATACTACATTGGGCAAATTTGCTGCAGAAGACTGCTTTAAATTTTTTTTTTAATACATATCATTAAAATATAATTTATGTGCAGTGAAGTGCATAAAACTAAAGTGTCATGGGTCAATGCTTTTTAAAAAAAAAAAAAAAATGTCACTTTGATAGCTAAGGTGCTCCTGAACCAAGCAGTGGTTTCTTCATTCTCCTCATATGCATGTAGAAGCTGAAAAAAGAAGACAGAATTGTTGCATTTCTGCAACAATTGTGGTGTTGGCAAAGAATATTGAATATACCATAGACTGCCAGAAAAACAGGAGCTCTGGTTGCGTGATGCCTAAGGCATTTGACTGCTAACCGGAAGGCTGGCGGTTCAAACCCATCAGCCACTCCTCAGAAGGAAGATTGGACCATCTACTTCTGTAGAGATACCACCTTGGAATCCCAAGGAGGGCTCACTATGAATCAGAAACGAGTCGAAGGCAGTGAGTACCAGAAAAACAAACAGATCAGTTTTAGATGAAAGAAAATCAGAATGCTCTTTGGAAGTGAGGTTGTCAAGACTTTGGCTTCTTTATTTTGGACATATCATCAGGAAAGATCAATCCATAGAAAAGGACATCATATTTAGTAAAGTAGATAATCAGTGAAAACAAGGGAACCCTTCAATGACATGGATATACGGAATAGCCACAACAGTAGACTCAAACATATGTCAAAGATCGTGAAGATGGCACAGGAACCCAGCAGTGTTTCATTCTCTTATACCTAAAGTTGCCATGAGTCAGAGCTGACTGGACAGCAACTAGCAACAGTAATTTTCTGTCAAGCTGTACTTTTTTAATGTGGTATTCTCATGTTTATTCTTTATTAGTGTTCTCATGACTTAGCTTGTTTATGTTATTCAGTTTTAAAAACAAACACAAAACATGGTGTTAGAAATAATGTCCTGGTTGATAGGAGCACTTTTCTGGTTAACCAAAAACTATAATATACAGAATTACAATTATATATATATATATATATATGTATATATGGGAGCTCTGGTAGCGTAGTGCCTAAGGCACTTGACTGCTAACCAGAAGGCTGGCGATTCAAACCCACCAGCCACTCCTCGGAAGGAAGATGGGGCAATCTACTTCCGTAGTGATACTGCCTTGGAAACCCAAGGAGGGGTCGCTATGAGTCAGGTCTGACTCGATGGCACATAACAATAATAACAACAACATATGTATATATGTGTGTGTGTGTGTGTGTGACACACACACACACACAAAAGCACAAGAGTTAGCGTCATCTTTTTACCTTAGTACCTTTCTTCATCAGTGGTAATATTTGTCCAATCTTTCCTCATTCTGGTTTCTGCCTTTTGGTTCTACTCTGAGTTGTTTTATGCTGACAACGTCCCTCCTAAAGGTTGCATATTCATCTCATCAAGCATGTTTACAGCCAGCTCAGCTTATGGCAGGTAGTAACTAAAATTCCAAACTCTTTTACAAACCAAAACAAAATTCACCTTTTCTTTGTTTCTTACAGTACTTATTTTACCTTTTCTGATTTTTCTTGGTGGAAATGAAGAAAATGCACTGGAGTGAAGGATTTGTGTTTTCTTTGTGTCATCTATTTATATGGTGATATATGATACAAGACAGTGGAGTTCTTTTGTTACTATTATTTTCTTTGATAGTTTTTGCAATACTCAACATTTTCTGGAGAATATTCTTGTAGTTTGGTAAAACTTTGGTGTTATATCCCTTTTCTCATTTTTTTGTTCTTGTCTGTTAAAAATCCCTTCAGAGAATTCCATTGTACAGTTATTTTTGTTTCTTTAGATGTCTCTCATTTCTTAATTGAAGTTATTTGGCATTTGTACAGCCATAATACTAATTTTAAAATTTCTGATCCCTCTGCAGATTTTCATTTCTTTAAATATCTCTGGTCATATTTTCTTCTATAGTTTTTATGTCTTCCCTGACTAAAATACAGTTTACATGTCTGATTTTCAACTTCTCTTTTTTGCAATAGACTCCAGATTCCCTCCATAGATTCTTATTCAACAAATACTACATCTAGAAATTATTTTTTTAAATAAATCTTAAATATTTACATTTTGATCTTTTTGTTTATTAAACTTTGTTGTTTACTGTTCAGTATCTACTCAAAATATCTCATTGTTGCCTGGAATTGTGGCAGAGTGTATATTGTGGTTAATTCCATTGCATCAGTTTCTATTTGGAAATCGTTTAATTTTTTCCCCAGTTATCTTTAATAATAAGATAGCCAAAGCTTATGTTCATTTCCTAGCTATAATCTCATCACTCTACTGTTTTAATTATATAAGTAAGTATGTGTGAATGTAAATTTTTAAGGCACCCTGAAGGCAAAAGTTCTGTTCTTTAAAAATACAGTGAGATAGTAACTGGAAAATTACTGCATATTTAATGTGTAACACTCTGCATTTTCCCAGACTTCTCAGTTGAACAGCAAATCTGATACAATGACATCATGCTATAATATCTTTTCCCCTTTAGATGGACACTTTCGTTAATCCACTTCGCAATTCTATGAGGAATGTTTCAAATGCAGTTAAATCCCTTCCTGATAGCTTGGCAGAAGGAATGACTAAAATGTCAGACAACATGGGCAAAATGTCAGAGCGATTAGGTCAAGACATAAAGCAATCATTTTTCAAGGTAAGAGGACATTTTCGGTAATGTCTAAAGAAAACTTTTTAAGTCAAACTGAGATTAATTGAACCTAGATTTACCTTATTTCTTTTCAAAAGTCCAAAGTCCTGTAGACAACTATTCTCATAACCAACAATGAAAGTCAAAGAGAATTAACTCTTACCAGAAATGGATGCTATTATTGATTCACTCCTCATTCTCTTCTATGGTAAAATTTTAAAATTCATTTTAAAACAATATTTGAAGTTAGTAAAGTTAACATTCTTTGTACTGCTTTATTCCATTATGCCATTTTTGTCATACAGTAATAATAAATTACATAACAAAATAAGTAGATGATATTGTGCAAATGTGTTATACTAGTATTTACTCAGGAAAATGAAGTTTTATTCCTCCTGATTCATGTCATTAAGTGAACACTAGATCAAAAGGAGGAAAAAGTCTTTCATCACCATCCTTGCATGACTGATACACCTGAGAGTTGCATGAGTTCTTTTTACTTTATGTTAGCAGATTAAAGGTAGTGAACCAAGTACTTCTCCACATTCCTAATTTATATAACCTAGTTATTTAAGTTTATGTGAGGTTGTAATTAAGAGTGTAAAAGAAAACAAATAGCTTTTAGAATTTTATATTAGATCTTATTTGAATGAAAGGAAAAATACATAAACAGATAAATTGTCTTTAATGTGAGACAGCTTGTAATCATGTGTAAATCATACTTTTCTATTCTCATACTTTTTCTGAGCCTTCATCTTTATTTCTCATTGTGGGGAAGTATAGTAACACCAGCATAACTTTTATCCAGTACCACTTCAGCTGCTCTACCAATATGACTCCCTACAAAAGCTGCTGAACTTCTTGGTTCATTTTACCTCACCAGTAACATGAAGGGATTATACTACGTGGTACTGATGATACTTCCAGTGCTGGCAAATGATTGTCAGCTACCATTGGTCTTTCTATCTTTATTTCCCCATATTTAGTAGATACCATTATTAGGTATCTAAAAATGGTAATTAATTCCTTAAATCTGTTAGTTTACTATCCAGCTATTTAAGGCAAAAGAAAAGATTGGAGTTCTATTTCCTGACTCTGCTTTTAGTTATGTTTAATCTTCAAGTCACTTGGCCTTTCTTAGTTTTAAATTCTACTTCTGAAAAATATAGGAGTTCGGTGAAGTAATCTTTCCTTCCAACTCAAAAGTCAAACCTTTTTTAAAAAGAAAAAATGTCCTTTGGTAATCACCAAAGGATAATAATCAACTTTTTCTATTTGATTTCTCATTTTAAATTGTTAAACTTTGGTTATTGTTGCACCAAAAATCAAATCAAAGCTATTTCTTATGTTTGATACTCATTTTGGTTTATCAGTGTATTGTATTCTTCCTCTTTCTGCTTTAGTGTGTTTACTTTTTTCCTTTTGTTTTACTGTTAGGTGCCGCCTCTAATCCCGAAAACTGATTCAGATCCTGAACATCGTCGAGTCTCAGCTCAACTTGATGATAATGTGAGTTAATTCTATTCTTCCTAGTATTCAGTCGTAATTCAAATTCAAATTATACTTAGAAGATCTTTTTAACTTTTTAATGAAGTGGTGTGTGTGTGTGTGTGTGTGTATGTGTATGTATAATTAATGCTAACACATTTAAAGCTCAATGAATTCTCATAAACTGAGCATGCCCATATAATCCGTTTTGTGATCAAGAAACAAAGTATTCCCAGCACTCTGGAAACCTACTGATGCTTTTTTCCAGTTGCTCCCCTTCCCCTACCAAGGCTAATCACTATCCTGGCTTCTTCTGCTGTGCTCTTAACTTCATATGTAAATGAAACTGTACAGTGTATATATACTTCTTTAAGTCTGGCTTTTTTCGCTAAACATTGTGATACTCTTCATGTTTTGTGTGATTGTAATTTTTTCATTCTTGAGGCTATATAGTATCCTATCTTATTAGTATACACAATTTATTCATTATGTTATTGCCAAAGGGGCTGGGAGGCCTATCTTCTGACCTCTTGTAACCCAACAAGAGGAAGACAGAATCAGAATAAGACCATTGTCTCCCAACCCTATATATATATGTTCTTGGATACACTCCCCACTTCATAGACATACCTAATCATTTAGCGTGTCCACGCATCTATCCATCCATATACCCATGTTTGCCTTCACTGACAACACAGTTCTGTATGTGCAAAAGGGTTCATATTTGATGTCTGTACCTCCCATGTACCTCTCTCTGTCTTTCTCATCCTCAATGGTGCCATATTGATCACTCACATTTGGTACATTGCCCTTCTCTTCACCCAAATCAATACTTAACTCTGTCTATCTAACAGCCTTCCCTTCCCTCCCCTCCCATGCCTGGTAACCAACAAAGAAAATTTCCTTCCATAGGTAAACCTTTCCTTAACTTTTACAATAATGGACTAATACAGTATTTGTTCTTTTGTGATTGACTTATTTCACTTAGCATAATGTCCTCCAAGTTCATCCACATTATGCGGTGTTTTGCAGATTCTACATTATTATTTAGGGTTGCATAGTATTCCATTGTGTGTATGTACCATAGTTTGGTTATCCATTCCTCAATTGATGGACACCTAGGTTGTTTCCATCTTTTGGC